TAGTAACTTACAGATTATCAGCTTATGTTAAAAAACCTCGCATATTTTATAATAATTTAATGTTGTGACCATGCTGTATTCTATATTTCACATTACATGTTATGTCTACATGATACCACAGAATACTATACCGAAGTCTATCTCTATTGTTTTTTGCATAAGCACTATTCATTATGATTCATCACTCAGCAAGTACCATAAATAGAAGCAGTTGACTGCTTCTGTTTACGGTACTTGCTGAGTGACGAATCATGACAAATGGAGCTTAAAGATAGGGTACAGTCGGTCTAATAATAATTACAGTAGTATAATGGGCTAGGGACCTTTGGAAATCCTGTTGGACTTTTATGACTTTTATAGTAAGGCCCCTAGTTTTAGTATTCTAATGATTAAAGACTATGAAAGAAGAAATTCAAGCAGAAACTATTTACAACAAATTGAAAGATGAAAAAATACTAAGAAATAAAATAGTGCATTACTATCATTAGTATTTCTAAGGCTAATGCTAAGGTTTTTATAATTGATTTACATTAATTAGATAATAAAGGGATTTTGCTTTTCTCTTAAAAGAAAAATATGTTTTGGTATTTTTAATTTCGTCATCAAGAAAATTAAATAAAGAAATTCCTTTGTTAAATACAGTATATATCAGGGGCGGATCAATGCTCATCTGACAGGAGGGGTGCAGATTTTCCTGGGGGGGGGGGTGCATTGGTGTGCTACCAAAAGGGATGACCTAGCTGTTGTATAATGTTTAGGCATATCGCCATAACCCTGTTTTGTGACCCCTCCCATGTGATCAACTGATCAAGTATTTAAGTCCCTGAGCTGGATGAGACATAAAATGCTCAAATGCCCTGCTAGTACTTTAGTAACTTGCTAAATTAGTGAGCACAGTATATTTGCAAAGTATTATTATTCATTATTTAATAATTATTAATGAATAGTAGTATAAAATTATAAAATATAGTTGTATAACTTTTCAGTAGCTTCCTTAGAATGTTTCAAAATCATGAAAATCATATAGTAACAAACTAACAAAGTTTTTAACAAATAAATGAAATAATGAATAGTTCTCAATTTATATAGTTTGACTAGTTAGTTAATGACTTAGACCTTAGTCCACTTATTGTGCATGTTTCCCCATACTGTTACAACTTCGTCCAAATCCAGCAAATCAACAACATCTCTGTTTAACGAAATGTATAAAAGATCACTTAATCTTTCTGGATGAAGGTTGGATCGCAGCTTCTTGCAGATATGATTCATGCCGGAAAATACTTTTTCCCGTTTTTCCACTGAAGCGGTTGATATCGAGATGGTGTTTTTAACTCATTAAAGTGGTCAAGTTTGGAAGCCTCTTTGGATTTATTGGTGGTAGACCAAGGCGCTAATCAACTTCAATCAACTCTTTCGATTTCTAGTTCGAGGATAGATCTGTTAATGTTGAGACAGCTGAAGGTATTCGGTAGCACATCTAGCTCACTTAAGTCCAAGTTGGTATCTGAACCTGCATTAAGAGCATTGATAGCTCTAAGGATGTCTATGTTCTTAGAGTCAAACCTGACATTAAACTCATAGTTAATTGAGTTTCTTCTTCAGCTCTGCGTTGAGTTCTCCAATAAGTAACTGTTGTAGCTCTATAGTGACTAGTGTTGTGGGTAGGCATTGTGTTGCAGTGAGCTAAGGGAGTATTGTATCACTAAGGATATTTTCCCATTACCGTGTCCCAGAGCTCTTGACACATCAGGAACTGTTTTCCCATATGTATTTGTGGCAGATGATGCATTTCCCCTTCGTCACAATATGATCAAGCCTTATGCAGAGACTGTATTGGATATTAGGAAACGTTAGTTGCGAATTATCGTATTTCAAGAGCCAGAAGGGTTATAGAGAATGCCTTTGGCATCTTAGCAGCAAGGTTTCGTGTATTTCGACTACCAATCCATGCAAAGGTTGAAACAACTGAATCAATTACAAAGGCATGTGTGGCACTACATAACTTTTTTATGATTGGGAGGCAGTATGGCACAGAGCATTATTGCCCTGCTGGATTTGCTGACCATGAAATTGATGGTAAAAAACTTGATGGGGAATGGCGAAGTATTGTTCATGGTGATACAAGTTTTGCCCCAGTTAAGAATGTTGGCTCAAATAACTATGGCAAGAAAGCAAAAGATGTGCGTGATAGTTTTGCAACACACTTCTGCACACCTGTTGGTGAAGTTCCTTGGCAATGGCAAATGTATGCAGATGAAATACATATACATAAAGGCCATTCAGTGAAATTTAGTTTTGGCAGCAAAAATATATTTTATACAACAAATTTGTTCTCTTTTTTTTCATTTTTGCTTCCCCCATGAAACTAAGGCTCAGGGCAAATCCCCCCCCCCCCTCTGAATGACCCTGACTACAATGTATTTTAAAAAGAAAATAAGTTTACTTTCATTAGTTTTATTTGTATGTTCTAATATGTAAACAAAAACGTAAAAATGAATATATTTACTGTATGTATATATATTTAAGACTTGTTGTTGCAGAACAAAATGTTTTACCTATTGAAACATAACACAATCATATAAGTGATGTGTTCAGTCATCAAACTCAATATCAAAGAGCAACTGCTGAATTTTTATTTTTGCCAGTTGGTTTTTCTTCACTGATTGCTCTCCAAGTCGCCGTAATGTATGGGTAATACTTTGACAAAATTGCTCATCTGCATCTTCTTTTTTTGCTGGCACTAACTTATTTTCTTCCTCATTTTTTTCAATTGATTTTATTAAATATTCTTCAACTGGATCAAGTACAACTTTCTTTTTCTTTTTTGGGATAACAGTTGCTTGTGGAAATTGGAACTTTTGTTTGGCTGGTGGTTGTGCTGTGGGGGGTACTGCCTGTTGCTGATTTTGTTGAGAAGCTTTATTGCCAGGATTTGACTCGACATGTGTTGATGGTTCAGGTAGAACTTTTTCAGAGGGGGATGGGGTAGCAGGTGAAATAGACCTCACCTGAACATTGCTGATAGAATCTCGTAGAAACAGCAACTGGTTGTAAAAACGACAGGTAGGTAGGTTGTTTTGAATACCCACTGCCACTTTTTTCTAAATCTCTCTTCCTGTCTAGGCATTTCTTGAAACCATCTGATAAATTCTTCCACTTTAACTTCACTTTCTCCACTGTAGATAAATAAAATGTATCATGTAGGCATAGTACAGCATTTAGTTTAACAACAAGAATAGCATTGATAACATTTCCCTAAACATACAGGCAAGCCCTACCCTCACATCCCATATGCTTTATATTACCAGGTGAAATTTAAATAGGTGACATTAGCCCCCCCCCCCCCTTCACTGGATGGCAGAGTAAACCTTTTAAACTTTTTAGGTAAATAGTTACATATTTTGCAGTAAAATACAAGAGTAGGCTTTTTGAAATACATCGCAAACGTTTTGAAAGATCATTACCTTCCAGCCCTACTTTTTGAGCAATAGCACTCCAAACAATTTGCTTCTTGTCTGACCGTTTATAATCTGGATTTTGTCTACTCCACAGTATTGGATGCGCCTGCACTTCATTTACAATCACCTCCAGCACATCAATTGAATTTACATCTATAGAAACAGACATGCATTAATACAATATATTAATAATTATTGTTTATCAGTATTTTCGACGCCAACGTTTGTATTGTAAGAATAAATCTTTGCGTTGTTTACATTTTACATGCTATCATACAATGCCTATACAAAGGTTTGTGCCTTTCTTGTTTATATTTAATAACTTTTCTTGATAGGGGAATTCTCTTCAGTTTGTAATATTTTTATAGCAATAGCTATGCCTGTTAGAAATTTTACCAACAACACAATTCTATTTTACCTTTGTAAAATATCTAATATGAAATTTGTAATAGGAGTAAATATGGTGAGCTTGATCCAGTGTGGATCAGCGTCCATAAGCTATTAAGCTTATATAAAGAATTAAATTGTTTATAGGCACGCCTTGGGCTTCAGATGATGCGGAAGTATTCATCGTTTGGTCACCCTGCATCATTTGCTGGCTTTGCAAACTACTCTGTTCATCATCTGAATCGTGTTCGTTTAATTCTTGGCTGATAATACTGTTGAAAAGTTGTGATTCCGACTCCAGAACAAATACATCGCTCCTTTGCGAGTCCGCCATTTTGTTTGAAAAACATGATTTGGATAAATTGCCATGATTTGATTGGTTCCCTACTTTTCGCTTTCGCAGTGAGTAGACTGAACTTCTACTCGCGAATTTTTTTCTCGCGAAATCTTATTTGTCTTCATCACGCATGCGTACAATTATTTCGCGTGAAAATTTTCGCATTTCGCTAAGAAAAAGCACTCGTGGAATCAGGCCTTAAGTCTTTTAGCTCAATTTTCTCATGTTTCTGTTTGGAAAGAAACGGTTTTTAGCCAAAATTATTTTTCCGCGCCAATGTAGGCTGCTATAAAATGTCAGACACACGTTTTCTTTTGAAGTCTGGCTCTAAAAAACAATCGCCTTTTTTAGTTTGAAATAAGCTTTCATAAGGACTAATTGTGTAGAAATGTTATCTGTATGCTCAAATGAAAAAGATAACCTAATATTCAGGTATTCAACATAGCTATAAAAGGGTGAAATAAGGACTTTCATATTTGGTTGTTTGTCAGACATTAGAAACCACATTAGTGCCATTTTGTCGTGCGTGCTATCTTATAAAACAAACACCTCAAAACCATATACTTTTAGTTCAGAAAATAACAAAGTTTCCCATAGACATTATTAAAAATGGTCTAGTGAAGCGATTTCATGATAAATAAGTCAGCTATGGGCCCAAAAGAACTGCTAAACTATGTTTTTTGTTAGGACTTCAATTTCATGGCTTCCCGCGAAGGAAGCCATTTCAGAGAGAAGCGGCATTTTGCAAGCGACCATCGTGACCTATTTTTGACGGCAGGTAGCGGGTGACGGGTAGCGCGTGCGTAGCGGGTGGCGGTGGTTCTCGTAATTCATATGTTGAACACATAGGATAATTTACGCACCTCGTTCCCAGGGTTTTCGTATGAGGGCGAGGCGGAGAGACGAGAAAGCCTGGTCTGGGCCGGTCACGTGACTACCAAAATATGGATATATTTGACAGCTACTCGTCAAGGAGTGGCGAGATATTCTTAACTGGAAATTATATACAAGTCTTCGAAACAAATAAACAGTGTAGCGAAGTTTGGCACAAATACCGATATTTCTGGAGATTTTCAAACACAGTGACAGGCAAAGCCAAAGGCACAACTGTATCTGAAGATGATTTCCAAGCTGGATCTAGGCGTCTCCAAGTTGTGATACACACGAAATTTGGGTTTCTCTCATCTTTAACAACATGGCTATTGCCTTTAATATTTGGTTTAAATAATTATGCTCTTAGGTCTGACTTAGTTTGATATAAATAAACACAAATATAAAACCTCGGGTATTAATTACCTGTTTACGCTGCATGTACAGGAATATACAGTTCGCTTCGATCGCCGGACACCAATGCTTGCATACAAATTTTATCCCTTTTCACAATCTTTGTTTTATTTTATCGTATGGTCGCAATTTTCAAGTATTCGGGGTATTCTGAAACTGTAAAACTCGGTGGCGTGACAAATCTTGTTAAGACTACATCGGCCTAGGCGTAGAGCTATTAAGTAAACCGGGCCTAAATTAATTTTATAGTTTCATTTAATTGTTTGTCTTTCTTTTATTTGTGTCGATCAGTACAGAATATTGTAAATTAAAATATTACTACAATGCAATACGCATAGTATTTCATCAGACATCTGCACTACATTATAAATACTGTACAAGGAAAACTATGCAGTAGTCTACCGACTATAAAGTAGACGTTTCAACATCACAGCTCACGTCAACATAGCTTTTGAGTTTTGTAACCGGCCGAGCTGAAAGTAGCTAAATCATGCAGTCGGGAAAACCGAAAACTTATTACTTTGAAAGATTATTTTGCAAAATACACTCGTACACACAAGAATCATAAAAATACATATGTTGAAATTGTTATTGTCAACTGTCAAGTTCAGCTATTTTTAGACAATATGGTGTTAGCCAATCAGAATGCAAAATTGACTGGCCCAGACCAGGGCTTTCTCGTCTCTCTGCCTCGCCCTCATACGAAAGCCCTGGGAACGAGGTTGTGTAAATTTTTCTATGTGTTCAACATGTGAATTACGAGAACTACCGGCACCCGCTACCCATCACCCGCTACCCGTCACCCGCTACCCGCCACCCACGGAAAATACCTGCCGTATTTTTTATAACTTTTCCTTCTGATTCAATGTGTAGTTACTAGAAAATGAGGTTGCATCAACATTATTATCTGCTTTATCGATTTAAAGTTTTATGGGGATATAAAACCCAATAGAAAAAGCGTTTTAAAAGCTTTAGAACTCAAGTGCAGACTTTTTGAAATTTCGCACGTGGCGTCACCAAAACTGAATCGAAAATGCATGGCTATATTTGGGAGCAATCCCAGTAAAACGATCTATTCTGTAACGAGTCCTCCGGTGACTCGAATCATAACTCGATGTGAATCCTCGTGGCTCTGGTTACTAACTCAAAATAGTCGCTATTAGCACTGGCGGCTAAACATGTACAATCAATTAGTCAATGGCACATTGTCCTTGACAACGTTACTAAATGTATATACGAAAAACGTCTATATGTGGCCTATAGATTCCTTGTACAATTGAGCATAGAAGCCTTTACGCAACTATAGAGCCCTATAATTGTCCTTGATGACATAAATTACAAAATGGGCAGTTATGACGGTTTGAAAACGAGTATAATATAGGCTATTGTATTGCTGTCTTTTCTGACAGTTCTTAACGCTTTAAAGTAAATTAGAAAATGATGTAATTATACTTGCTTGCGATAGTAAATATATTCGTCGTTTTGTTCTGTTTATAGTTTTAAGTCGTCACATAATTGAGCGCATCGGAGGCGCTGTATGCACCACACCGCTCTCTCGTATTACAGTCTATGCATGTATATATGTTCAGTTCCGTGCTCAGTATATATAGCCACACTGTACATGTCAAACATTTTTATATATTATATTTTCAAGGAGTTTGAAACACACTTTGTACTGTATATTGAAATTTGCATTTTGTAATTGGGAGTTAAATTTGTTTGAAAACTCTGCAAAGATTACACACATGATTTTCGTAGTGTTTTACTTTAGACTGAGATGCCTGCTGTTTTCTATTTGTCATTGTAGTTTCCGGCCGAATCTGAAGCAGTAAAAGGTAATAATGCAATGAATTGCTACATTCAGTTATATAAAGTGCGCACAAGATTAAAACAAGAA